GGAAGCATGGAACAGCATGGTGGTAATCGGGTGTACGACATTGGCTCACGAGACGGAAATATCGTCGAGAAAAGCGTTGGAAGCGTTCTGGATTTAAGCTAGAATTCCGAAAAGCCGAAATGAGCGTGTAACAATCACAAATAATCACTTGCCATTTAAGCATAAGCAACATTGCGAGTTCCATAATCTGCGAATGTGCTGATCCGCATCCGATAATATTATTGCATAAGGACAGTAAACTAAGATCATTCGCTACTAATGTACTAAGCTCACCTCACTTCCACCAAGTGTAGCGTAGTGCTACACTTGGTGGAAGTGAGGTGAGCTTATCTTTTGGAGGCGCCTAGTGGGGTAGTGTGCAATCAAAAAGCTTGGACCATTTTCAGGCCTTTGAAAACGACGAGTCCGTCGAATCGTTGACCAGGATAAAAGTTTTCACCTAACAACCTCGAAGCAGAAGCAAAATTAACAACTTTAAGAGCAACAGAAATGCTGAGGTTCCAAGATGAGACAACTTGGAATTTAATGGTTTTTGGAGCGCATTCTTCCAAACTTTGAGTGCTGTCGCTAGATCGCTCTGTAGCTATGTGAGATAGGAAGAGGTTAGTTTTTCTCAATGCATCTCTTCAGATATAATCCTGCGACTGACCAGTTGATGTCTGATGTCGCTCTCTTCCTACTCTTCCACTTTTTCTGGGTGTAACTGCTCTTGACGACCATCTTTATGCAATTGGCGGCTTTAAGGATCATAGAGATCGAAACCATTGCATTGTTGAACGGTAAGAGCAAATCTAATTAATTCTCGCACGGACTGAATTCCACGCTATCGCTGCAGCTATGACGTTCGGCGAAATGAATGGACCTTTATGGCACCTATGGGTTTATGTCGAAGCTTGCATTCTGTCTCCGTTTTGGATGGTTGCCTCTACGCAGTGGGAGGGTGCGAGAATACAACTGCTCTAAACTCTGTGGAGAGGTAGGTCAACTTCAGTCGGGTGATACTGTACTGCTTTGAGCAAAATTTTTAATATTCAACATCTTTGATTACTCTTGTTGAACAATTAGAAAATGACCACTGTTGTGAAGCAAATAGAAAAAAAGGCAGCTCATTGTGTTGGTGGGCATCGTGCGTAGCTGTTTTAAAATTGTGACATAAATGGTAATTTTAAAACAGCTACGCACGATGCCCACCAACACAATGAGCGGTTGAGGTTACGGTGAATTATCCTTTACTGTAGTCAGAAACGGACTCAGGGTTCCTACGAGCCCTTTGAAACGGACTCATAAATCACATAGTTCAGAGCATGTAGGAGTACTGTATCCATGAAATTCGGAATCAGGAGAGGAGAGCCGTAGCACAGTCTTGCCTATAAATAAGCGAGAGTTCTTCGGAGGCTTTTGATTTCAATGGTCCTGTACCCTTCTTTTTTCTTTTCAGGTGTTCTCGTACGACTTGCGAACAAATGTTAAAATGTTTTTGATACAACCCTCAAAAGAGTCTTTCATGTTTCAGGATCGACCCACGGGTTGGTATATGGGAAGAGGTTTGTCCCATGTTAACACGTCGATGGGGTCATGGCTCTGCAGTGCTCCATGGCGAATTGTATGTAGTGGGTGGACACAACGGAAATTCAGGCGAACTGGGCTCTGCTGAGAAATACGATCTCCGTGCTAATAAGTGGACTTCAGTGGCTGATATGAGCTGTAGCCGAGTTGGTGTAAGTCAGCTGCATTCACTATACCACTTTATGTTTTTTTATGAAGAGTTGTGTCATTTTCAGTTAGGACTGGCTACAGTCAGTGGAAATTTGTATGCCATTGGTGGGCTGAATCGTTCAGTAGATCATAGTCTAAAAGATCATGCTTCAGTTGAAGTTTTTGATCCTAAGACGAACCAGTGGAAACACCACAGTAACATGAACTGCAGGTTAGTCGGTGTCCCTGACCGTATCCTCATTTATCAAACATTCCTCGTTAATACAAACTTTTTTAGACGAACCAATCCTGGTGTGGCTATTCTACAGAAGCTGTAGAAATCGAAAAAGGCGAAAAATCTTTTCGGAGGTTGCAGCAGCTTGTTCCCATCTACACATTCCTTATGGTCTCGGATCACGCTCGCTCGATTAATGGAGTATACGATAGCTCGTACCTACAACGATTGCAATGAATTTACTTATGATTAACTACAAGAGTTTATGTAATTTCCGTGGGGATGCAACCCTCGTGCCGTAGGTGTGAGACTCATCCTAAGCTCTTGTTCACGTAATAATCAAAATGTGAAACACACTGATGGAATGTGCACGACGTTCTCCTTTTAAATGTGCCTTTATTCATTTTGAGTGAACAGATATAGACGTTCTCTTCCGAATTTTTTGTGCTGACATCAAGCAATCACCTCCCAAAACGAATTACTTTGCGTCGAAATGCTGCTGCCATGGAGAATAGCTGAAAATCGATTATCGTAGCATGCATTATCTCGTCTAGATATGGATTCCAGTTATATTCGCTCATTCAACGCTATCAGACTAGAGTGCAAAGCGTTGAACGCGTTGACGCCCGTAGGCTGCGTTTACGCTCACACCGCCGGTGGCTGCTTTCATACTTCGACTTGCGCGCCGGCTCGCAGTTGGACACGGCCGTACATTTAGAAGTAG